AGGATTTCATTCTTCTTTAAATGGTTTGTATGCTATGAATCCATTTTCTTGAAATTTTATACCATGTCACGCCAAACGTGGGTCGGTGGGTTTTTGTTCAGTCCCATGTTGGGGTAATTAGTTTTGTTCTGTCTCATATATCAGGCGCATCCTTAAAACCATTATAGTGGTTTCGGCCAGAGTTTTGTTTCTTCACACCTTTCCTTCCTCCAAACTCGTATTTCGAATCCTTAAAACTCATTGCTTGCTCCGTATTACCTTCTCTTCTTGTTTTTTAGCTTGCGCTTCTTGTTCTCTCTTGCCTTTCTTCTCTAAAATCTCTCTCTTTTCTACAAGAAAGCAAGTCATTGACATCTATCTATTGATCTTGATTGATATCGATCGAAAATTGGTGAATCCATTCTACATCTTTAGGAAAACTAATATTGCCAAGTTTATCAAGCATGACGTCCTTGGATTTTAAACTGTCATACAAATTTTTTCATCGATGGTCTATAATTGGAACCATAACTCTTATTTATTCAAATTGTATTAATATATAAAGACCAAGTGTAACATATATCATCGTTAAATCTTATCTTATAAAACCAGTGGAACTTCAAAATTGTTAAAATTCATGGCTCCCGCCGCATTGCGCGGGTACACAACTAGTATATATATATATGTTACCATGGATGGGGATCAACCGGGGGTGTGGTGCTTACCGAGATGGAAGAGCCAAGGGGAAGGATAGAAGAGGTTGGCCCCATGGGAGAGGTGCTTGTCTGGTTTGTTTCTGTTTATAGACATAGGTTTAGTGTACACACACACACACACACATATATATATATATATATATATATATATATATATATATATATATAATTTTAAATTATTGATATGAAATTAAAATTTAAAAAATGGTAAATGACTAAATTACCCTTGACTTAATGGACCTGTTTAACATCATTAGCCTCAGGGACGAAAATTAAAACAAAATGGAAACCAAAAGGACAAAAAAAATAGTTTTTAAAGACCAAGGACGAAAATTGTTATAAACATCAACTATAGAGATGAAAATCGTTACAAACATCAAACCACAAAAATGAAAATCCTAGTTTACTCTTTTTTTTTTATAAATTCAAATCGACTTGTGTAACACCCCAAGCTCAGAATTTGAGAAAAAAAGTACATATAATTTACCATTATAGTGCAACAAATGATCGAGTTAAAATAAGAAATTACCTTATCTACTCTAGGGTAATAACGAGTTGTCATAAATTAGTCAAAATTTATTGTTTGACAATCAAGTCATTAATGTAAACATTGATTTTAGAATATGTAAGGTAAGATCGGGTGAAATCCAAATAGAATACATGTATGAGAGTAATCAAAACTTGCAGAAATCCAAAAGTTGAGCGTTAAATATTCGGGAAATTCATAAAAATTCCAACTCTATTCAGATTTCCAAAAGAAAACATAAAGTTCAACTAATTATAACTGAGAGGTTGTGTGCATACCTTACCTCAATTCCTAGGGTCGGGGTCGAGAGGCTCCAGCTTGTGATAGATTTAAAAGCAGGAGCAAGCAGGCAAAAATGCCTAATTAAACTTCAACGTAGTTTCAGTTATTGTCAAAGTTAATTGATACTTAACGACCCTTTAACAATCAAGAGGTTACATGGGATCGATATTTGGTTTTTGCATAACTATATTACTTGTTGATATCATATACGTGCGAGTAGACATTTTCCAAACATATGCTGTTAGGAACCATTTCTATTGAACGTTTAATCCTAATGTTTTCTTTTCCAGTTGTGATACTAATTGCTTAACTCTTTATCTTGTGAAGGTACTATTTTCTAGTGAACCAAAGGAGACAAATATAAATTATCGAGTTAGATCCTAAACCGAAGAAAACATTTAGATTAAGAAGGAAAGAGCAAAGTAAAGTGAAATATTGAGATGATGAGGTATTGAATGGAGGAAATCAACAAGAAGCCCCAAGAAAACATGATGAGATGAATTTGAGATTGAAGCAATGACTAAGAGTTGTAGCTAATCATTCAGAACAAGTTACCCGTTAAGAAAAGTGATCCATGAAGCTTCACATTGCCCTCCAAAGTTGGAAAAGTAGACAGACTAGATTATGTGTTCTGAAGGCAAGTATTAACTTATTGCCATTGTCAACATCCATGAAGTTATGTATATGTAAGGCAATTCCAACAACTGTGACTCTTTAATTAGTCAACGTAATCGTGGTATATCTAGAGGGAAAGATTGAGGATGTCTTAGTCCCAGTTGTCAACATAGCCACTAGGCTAATATTGTTTATATATTGTTGGAAGTTGTCGACAAAGAGAAGATGATATTATAAACTCCTATTTATGCACTTGGTCTTGAGTACGCATTTTATCTTTTTAAACCATGTGTTGTAATACGTTCTAGTGTGATTATGAAATAAATTAAGGTCTAATGTTATTCCCAGGTTATATGTATGGTGTGACACCCAACGACAATTACAAGATGTCATCACATTAATGCTGATTCATAAGTTTTTTAAAATTTAAAAACTCTTATCAAGACACGTGAAGATAAAATATTGTATTTTTTTCATCTGCTCACATCCAATGTTTTTGGATAGAAACGATTCAATCCAATTACTCATTGCATGTTGGATTTTTACAGCCAATCAAATTCATTACCTGTGTATTGGACTTTGGGTAGCTCGTGTGGTACTATAGTGGTAACGTCTTAGGGTAATATTGATTCAAGTCTATTTGGATTCGTGTCCCACATCAGTTGTGAGTTAGAAATACTTATATGAGTTCCATTGTATATCCTAGGTTGTTAGTTGGTAATAATTTCTTATCATGATTTCTGGTTAATTTGGAAGTTACTATTTCGGGAATTACCAAAATAATATTTGAGCATGTTAAGTGGCTCTATTTGTGTTATTCATTGATTGATAGTTCTAATTGTGTAACATGCATAATAAAAGATGATATTCGTCATCAACTAGTACACACAGAATTAGAAAATTGTACAAAATGTAAATTTAACATCCTCGATTATAAAACCTAAACATCATGTTTGTTAGTACAAGAAGAAAAATCCAAGGGTATTAAAAAACATACTCCAAGGAGGATATGGGTGTAGAAATGTTAGCCATATATGTGAGACCCCAAATCAACTGATGGATAAGTGATTAATTACTGTTGATTATAAACATGCACAAACTCAAGAGAATTCAAATCCCGTCGGTTCGAGTAAAAAAGAAAGCAGAAACCAGTCTTGTAATTTTATATTAAGCATATAGATTTGAAGCTTTTAAGACTTGGTTTAGTTTCAGTTCATATACTTAGGTTATATTTGGCAAACTAGCTGATGGTTGATAAGCTAGCTAGTAGCTGATAAGCTAGCTAATGAACAAATCAAGTTCGGTAAAACTAGCTGATGAGAGTGTAAAATGACCAAAAAGGGTATTTTGAAAAATTAATCAATTGTATTATTTCAAAATATAAATGAAACAAATCTCTAATAATATAATATCTTAACTAATACAAACATGATGGTAAATAAAATTAACAAAGTAATCTTCACTTTAGGATGAGATGCACCGGATAAATTATCGTATCAAGCGCGATTCATGGATGAATTTGAGATTAAAGATAATAAAGGGTTCAGATTCATTCTTATGTTTCTTACTTTAACTCTCATTTTCACACGATCTTCGTCTCAATACATAATCATAATAAAATAAGTAGGAAATAAAAAGGAAATTTGCTAGTGGAACATACCTATAAAGATCCATTAATGTGGTTGAGACTGCCAGACTGGACATCTCCACTTGTCCACAAAAAGTCTTAGCCATTTAAAAAAGTCTTGGCCATTTAAAAAAGTCTTCGTCCACTTCAAGTCTCTCTATACTCCTTGGCTTCATCTTCCAATTTCCATCCCTTTGAAATCAAAACCCCCAAGAAAGAAACAATCTTTGCCTTTCAAATGGCGGTTGCTGAAATCTTTCTCACCGCATTCATAACTGTGCTATTTGAGAAGCTGGCCTCTGTTAACGTGATAGAGCTGGCTAGATCTGAAGGAATTGATTCTCAGCTGAACAAATGGAATAAAACCTTGTCCCAAATCCAAGCTGTGCTTGCTGATGCAGGCCAGAAGCAGATAAGAGAGAGAGCTGTTCAATTGTGGCTGCACGATCTCCAGTGTTTGGCTTACGACATAGACGATCTACTCGATGATCTAGCCACTGAAGCTATGCGGCGCCAGTTGAATGAAGAATCTTATGCCAGTACTAGCACTAGCACTAGCACCAGCACCGGTAAGGTATTGAAGATCATGCCAACTTGTTGTACTAATTTCACTCCTCATACCATTATGTATGGAGGTCAGATGAGTTCTAAGCTGGACGAGATTACCACCAAATTGCATGATCTTGTTGAGGAGAAAAATATTCTGGGTTTGAATGTGAATGTTGAAAGGTCGAATGGGGGGAAAAGTAGACGGTCGGAGGAAACTTCACTGGTTGATGAGTCCATAATCGTGGGTCGGGAAGGGGATAAAGAGGCTTTGCTCGACATATTGTTGGTGAATGAAGCATATCATCAAAATGTCAGCATCGTGTGCATTGTTGGTCTAGGTGGGATAGGCAAAACAACTATTGCCCAAGTGTTGTACAACGAAGAGAAGGTGAAGGATCACTTTGAACTCATGTCATGGGTTTGTGTTTCTGAAGAGTTTGATGTATTTAACATTAGCAAGGCTATTTATAAAGATGTGGGTGGGGACAACAAAAAATTTGAAACTCTAAACCAGCTTCACGAGGCCCTTAAAGAAAAGCTTTCAAAGAAAAGGTTCCTATTTGTTTTAGATGATGTATGGAACGAAAACTATAAGGAGTGGGAGCTCCTCCAGCGCCCTTTTCTTGTAGGGGCAACGGGAAGCAAAATTATCGTCACAACCCGGAAGACTAAGGTTACATCGGTAATGGACTCTGTTAAAGCTTACCCTCTCGAGGTTTTGTCAAATGAAGCAGCTCTATCTTTGTTTGCTCAACATGCACTAGGTGAACAAAACTTTGACAAACATCCTACACTTAAGTTGCATGGTGAAGGTATCGTGTATAAATGTGGTAGATTGCCTTTGGCTTTGATGACGCTTGGGAGGGTGTTGAGAAAGAGAGAAAATGATGAAGAATGGAAGGAACTGTTGAACAATGAGATATGGAATCTACCAAATGAAAGTCAGATTCTTCCAGCCTTAAGGCTAAGTTACTATGATCTCCCTTTGCATTTGAAGCAGTTGTTTGCATATTGCTGCTTATTCCCCAAGGACTACGTCTTTGACAAGAATGAACTAGTCCTATTATGGATGGCAGAAGGGTTTTTGCAAGAGTCAAATGCCAACAAGGCGATGGAGAGTTTTGGTCGCGAGTACTTTGAAGAGCTCAAGTCAAGGTCGTTTTTTCAACATTTAGCTAATGATGAATCACGATATACAATGCATGGCCTGATAAATGACTTGGCCATGAGTGTTGCTGGAGAATTTTTCTTTAGATCGGATGATAAGATGGATAATAAAGCATCGGAGAAGTTCCACCATTTCTCATTTATTCGTCAACATTATGGAGTATATAGAAAGTTCAAGGCATTACAAAGAGCAACACGATTGCGAACTTTCTTATCAATATCATTGTCCAATAGGGTAGGTTCATGGGGAAGTTTTTTCTTATCTAACAAGGTTCTTGTTGAATTACTTCCCCAATTACGGTTTATAAGGGTGCTAAGCCTAACTGACTATTCAATCAAAGAGGTGCCCCAATCCATCGGTTGTTTCAAGCATATGCGGTACCTCAATTTTTCCCGAACTGACATCACATGTTTACCAAATCAAGTGAGTGACCTTTATAATCTACAGAGCTTGTTGGTATGTGGTTGTAATGAGTTAGAGAGCTTGCCAGACAGTTTTGTAAAGTTGATAAACCTCCGACATCTTGACATTAGTGACACTCGGTTGTTGAACAAGATACCTTTAGGGATTGGCAGGTTGACGAGTCTACAAACTCTATCAAAGGTCATTATTGAAGAAGCTAATGGGTTCAAAATATCGGAGCTTAAAGGCCTATTGCATCTTCGAGGTCAACTGTACATTAAAGGGTTGCATAATGTGAGAGATGGAGTAGAAGCAAAGGAGGCCGACATACAGCAAAAGAAGGGCCTCGATGATTTGGAAATGGAATGGACAAACAACTTTGATGTTTCTCGGAATGAAATGAATGAATATGAAGTACTTGAAGGGCTAATGCCTCATAGTAATTTGAAAAACCTGAAAATATGTTTCTATGGGGGAACGAAATTTCCAAGTTGGGTTGGGAATATCTCCTTTTTTGGGTTAACACACTTCACATTACATGGCTGCAGAAGTTGTACATATTTACCAACACTTGGACATCTAAGATCACTTCGGAAGTTGTTTGTAGAAGGCATGAATGGGGTGAAAACTATGGGTTCTGAGCTACTTGGACCTAGTAATTCTTGCCTTGGTATTGCATTCCCGTCGCTTGAAGTTTTGGAATTTAAAGATATGCAAAGTTGGGAGAAATGGTCAACTGGTGGTACTATTGGATCTTTTCCTTGTCTTCGTGAGATTTCTTTAGTAAATTGTCCGAAACTTGCCGAAGTGAAGATTGATTTAATACCATCACTTCGGATTTTATATATAGGAGGATGTTCTGAAGAGGTGTTAAGAAGCATGGTTGGTGTGTCTTCATCAATTCTTAGATTGACAATGTGGGATATTAAAAGACTTACTCAACTACATGGAGAAGTATCAAAACAACTTGAGGCACTTGAAGATCTACATATCACATCGTGTAATGAATTGAGATACTTGTGGGAATCAGATTCGGAGGCATGCAAGTTTCTTGTGAGTTTAAGGAAATTGGAAGTAAAATTTTGTAAAAAGTTGGTATCATCAGGAAAGAAAGAGGTTGATTCACGAGTTAGCATGGAATCTATTAGAGAAGTGATTTTCCATGGTTGTGAGGGACTAGAGAGGTACTATTGTCCAAATAGCATGCAGAGGTTGAAGATCTTGAAGTGTCCTTTAATGACATTGTTGACCTTCCCAGAACCGCAGGACGTCCCGTCCACTCTAAAATTTCTTAGCATCGACAAATGTGAAAACCTAGAAGAGAGTTGGCTTCTCAACAACTTCTTGTCATCACTTGAAATTCTTATAATTTGGAGTTGTGCTAATCTGAGGTCAAGGTCATTTTCTGAAGGATGCTTTGTTCATCTCACTACATTGCAAATCTGGAATTGTGATAACATAGAATCCATTCCAGATGAAGGTTTTGGCTTCCTTCCCCTGTTTTGCCTAAGATATCTTCGGATCTATAAGTGCAAGAATTTGAAGTCATTTCCTCATGAGCATTTGCAAAGTCTCACATCTTTGGAAGACATGTGGATACATGATTGTCCAAGTATGTCCTACTCCTTTCCTTGTGGGTCGTGGCCTCCTAATTTAAGAAGCCTAAGAATAGGATGCTTAAGTAAAGCCATGTCAGAGTGGGGGCAACAAAATTACCCAACCTCGCTTGTTGAACTATATTTATATGGTGGCAAAAATTCAGGAGTAGTTTCATTTGCAAAGCCTGAAGATGTAAGGAATAGCAACAATACTACTTCATCATCGTTTCTTCTTCCACCATCTCTAACTTCTCTAGAAATCAAAGGTTTTATGGATGTGGAATCAGTTTCAAAAGGCCTACAACACCTCATCTGCCTTGAAAAACTTCATATTGCATCATGCCCGAAGCTTAGAGATCTACCAGAGAAACTGCTTCCTTCACTTTCAGCTCTAAGTGTTAGGAATTGCCAAAAACTGGAAAAGAAGTGCCGTGGTGGAAAAGCCAAGTACTGGCCCATCATCTCCCAAATCCCCCTCCTTACTATATATGGCTCATAATGGTACGTCCTCTCCTTGTCCATCATCTTTGTTTTATGCGTAGTATAAATAAATTCAATGCTTGTTATGCTGAAAATGTGGAAAAGGGCTCTACAACCTCGTATTTATGATCATAAACTCATAATGTGTGTTTTATATGTAGTATATCCCTTTCCTATAATAAATACAAAATATTCTTCAAATAAATATGATTAATACTTCGTTTTAGTAAGGCTGCAATCTGTATTTTTTTTCTACTTCAAATAATCATTGCAAAATTATGGTAATAGTAATTTGAAGATTCATCTGTTCTGATTGTTAATTGGTAGTGTAACATTTAACTAGCTAAGCAAAACCAAATAGCCTTGTTAAATGATGCAAAGCCAATTGTTACATGTACTTCATATAGAATAAGTACTTCTTAACAACAAATACATGTTGCCTTTCATGTCAACGAGATGAAAAGACAAGTGTAATATTAATTAGAAGATTTATCTGTTTTGGCCATCTAATATAACGTTGTAATTAAATTTACGATTTTGTCGAAAATTATAATTTTGAAACTGTACATGCATATTCCAAAAATAAATGTAGCTTCATTAGATGAAATAAAATGTTTTCTTCTTTGAGAAGACAACTAAAAACAAAGAAACATAGACACACTAACACAGTAACACACACCCTATTAACCTTGAATGCATAATCATTAATACAAAAAAATAGGAACAACCATACACAGACTTTGAACTTGTAAGCTAAGTTGGGAATTATGTATGATGTGTGTACATAGGTGAGGCTTTTGCATTTGCCAAGATTTTTTCTGATAGAATCAAAGCAGGAAGGAGAATCAATGCCGTAGAAGTGGTATTGGGAGCTTTCAGGACAAGTGGAAAAAGATAGACTAGTTTTGTGTGTAATTTGCTTACAAGATACCGAAGGTTTCCACCAGATGAAGCACATTCGGAGTTGTGAAGAGAAGTGTTGGCAATTACTGATTGGAGATAGTTCTATCATTATGTGGTTGTTCATAACTTCCAAATCTGGTTCCAAGTTCTGTCTGTTCATGTAAGCTTTCTTATTCCAGGTTGTATAGGTTAGTTGATGACTCATATCTGTGATTTTAAGTTTGACCTTCTTGTTGGGATTTAAATTTTCTCTCTCTTATTGTTGATGGTACAAGAAGTTTAATTGTGTGTGTGATGCCCTAATTAGAGGTTCATGTCAAAAAAGTTTGGTCTTGGTAGATATTTTGTTGAGTAATGAAATCAGAGATCCAAAACACATTTCAAGGTGATAACAGGAGTAGTAGGTGTGTTCATCCAAACCATCAAACTGCACAAGGCTATCTTTATCTATATTATTGGAAAAGAAGTCTACCATGATCAGGAGGATTATACGAGAAATTGATATAATCTAGAGGTTATTCTCTGCATAAATATTGCTCATTAATGGGTCAATAGAAGATAATTCTATAATTTTGCTATCATTCATGGAGAATTCTACTTTCATCTCACCACATTGAAAATCGGGAAATGTGACAGCATATAATCCATTCCAGAGAAAGGTTTTTGGTTTTCCTCCCCTGGTTTGACTAGATTCAGCTCAGTTGCTGCAAGAACTTTAAAGTCATATCATCCTGAGCATTTAATTTGCAATGTCTCACAACTTTGGAAGACCTGTTGGTAAGTATTTGCCCAAGTGTGGACTACTCCTTTTGTTATGGATTGTTGCCTCCTGGTATAAAGAGCCCAAGGAAACGATTCATAAAAGTCCATGTCAGAGTTGCAAAATTTCCCAGCCTCACTTGTTGAGCTAGCTTTATTTGGCGAATTAATAATTATAAATAATAAGATGTATTATAGTTTGTTCATTGTTTCCGTTTCAAGGACAACTCGTTCATGATATTTTATGACATCGAATTATTTCATGTTAAAGTATAACAGGATGTAAAAGTTTCGGAAATTCCTTTCTTCCGCATACATTTTGGAGCTAGTGTTGGTGTTTTCAATGTCGGAGTTTTTGTTTAATTGGAATGGGGCATGAGAGGTAGCAGTTTGAAAGGTTGTGTTGATTTAATGTTATGGCCCACCCTGAAAATCCAGGCAGAAACTAGTTCTTTTTTGTTGAACTACCAAATTGCAGACAAGACATAAAACACCTAGCTTTGTGAAAGCTATAAAAAAAACTTGTATATAGAGGAGGCTTCATATATGCATACTTAAACTTTAATGGCCACGAAAACTATACAAAACACACATGAAAGCATCATGCCTCAAGCAAGGACGTGGCACCTCAGATCTCTGACCTTGTCCTAGTAAACCTATATCCAAGAAGTTACTCTACCTAGTATTCTCTTGCTTTTCTGATTGACATGGTCGATAGTGATACTCTTTAAGCATGTATGGCTTAATACATGCCAAATACGCTTAGCACTTGTCTCTTTAGGGCATCTAGCAATCAACATATGGTGCTTAAAATGCCAAAATTCATCAATGTAGAAACATTTTCCATGTCCATTCAAGATGCCAAAAACACTAATATTACGCCCTAAACACAGTATGCTATCATATCAACGATGACGACAAGAATCACAAAGGCTGAAATGATAGAAGAATATAAAATAACGAAAAAGCCAAAAGATTAAACTATGATTCAAGAGGGTATGACCTATCTCAAAGAACATTAAAGAACTAATGACACAACCATGTTAGTATCTCTGAGAAAAAAAGGATCACGGAAAGGTTTCACTCTCCTATATCACATACATATCCAACAACGATGATGTGTGGAACAATCTACAAAGGAATTATGCATGAAAGAAAAACATCATAAGCAACATTCAACGATTTCACTCAATATTAGTTCATAAAATCATAATAGCATTCAAGATATTAAACTGTAATCTGCTCATAAAAGTACAACTTCAGATATTATGTAACCAGTAGCCAAAATACAACGCGTACATCAAAAATGGGAAGTACGTTCACCTGAAATCAGAGAGAGCTTGCGGCATCCATTTGTTAATCCTGATTCCAACCCTAGTATAAGTTTGCAAACTACAGAAAGTAGTAAAATGGCCTATTTTCACAATCGCACAGCTTTACTTCAAAATTCAAACGACATTTAAGCAAAACCTTATTCATTGAGCTCTACATCCGAAACCATTTCGATTGTAATTTAACGGCCGCTCAGAATGGAGGTACATATATAATTTACCTTGAGGAATCACGATCACCGATTAGGATGAGCTTGGAGAACTTGACGCTGCAAAACAAAGACAGGTATACGGACCATAGAAAGAGAGAATTCATGGAAGGGAGATCGGTAAAAAGAAGATAATGGAAGGGAGATCGGTAAATGATTTAAATGATTCAAGTTTGAGTATCACTCTACTTGAACTTAAAAACCCAATTTTCGAACTCGAACTTGACTCTAAAATTTGTGACTAGTAAAAATTAAAGCTCGATTTAAACTCGATAATTATTTCTCAAGCTCGAACTAGGTTTGAATCGACGAGCTCGAATCAAACTCATCCATTAAAATTTATGAAAATTTAGGGTATTTTTGTTATAAATTTTAAAACTTAAGTGTTCTCTTTTAGTTTTTATAAAAGGGAAAAATCTAAAAAAACTCAATGGACTTTAGTATTTATAATGATTAAGTTTTTGGACAATTTTTTGGACAATTTTTTGAAGCAAATAAGTCTTTGGACATTTCAAAACATGTTAAATAACTCCTTGGACAATTTTTTGGAAYAAATAAGTCATTGGACATTTCAAAACATGTTAAATAACTCCTTGGACAATTTAAAACATGTTAAATAACTCATTAAACAATTTTTTTGGAACAAATAAATCCTTGAACAATCCAAAACATGTTAAATAACTCCTTGAACTTTTCTAAAACCTGTTGGATACATTATTATGACTTATACAACTAGTTATGTGGTAAAATAGTGAAAATAGTGAAAAAAAGTCCCAAAAAAAAAGCCAATGAACATTCATATTTTGAACAATTAAGTCTCTAAACATTTTTTGAACCAAAAATGATTTAAATCTATAAAATTAAACAAATATAACAAAAAAAATAATTACATTTAAAAAAGATTTTTGATAAAATTTATTTTAATTAAAAGTAAAATATATTTAGTCAGTGATTTTTCAAACTAAAAAAA